GAAACAAGAGGAGGAGGTCACCCGGCTGCGCAACGACTTCGAGAGACAAGTGAAAGGTCAGGACGTGTGCGCAGCTCCCGCACAGCCTCCCTTTGCCAGCGTGCCGGGGAAGGCCCCTCTGAGCTCTGCTGCGCCGCCGGGCTCCCTGGCAGAGCCTCGAGCAGAAAGGGGGCCGGTTTTCCCCCAGCTCTTGCTCCCCTGTGCTCCGGAGTTGCCAGACCCCCAGCATCGCGCGAACAGAACAAGGCTGGGCGCCTGTAGCGCGGGCTGAGGGGTGCAGGCAGGGCACCCAGCGCCGCTGCCGGGCCGTGCCACTGAGCGCAGCTGCCTGGCCGCGCTTCTCCAGGCTGTGGGGTGGGCTGGCTGGAGGAGCCCTTGCAGAGTCCTCGCTCCAGTCTCCTCCTCAGGGGATGTTTCGGGTTCTCACGGGCAGACTTGGAGCGTTTCCATGTCCTCTTTCTGCTATTTCTGGGCTCGGCTCTCCATGGTCCCAGCGTAACTGGTGGCAGCTGTGGTGACGCCTCTAACGAGCGTCTTGTCCTCGTGTAATGCGGCGGTGGCACGCGCCGGGCCGGCACTGGCTGACGGAGCTGGGGTGCGTTACGCAGGGTCTCCGGGAGGTCCTCACTCGGCCCCCTGTGCGCTCCCCCAGAGATCGAGGCCAAGTACACCAAGAAGACGCAAGTGCTGCGGGACGAGCTTGACTTGCGGAGGAAGACGGAGATCCACGAGGTGGAGGAGAGGAAGAACAGCCAGATCAGCGAGCTGATGAGGAACCACGAGAAGGCCTTCGGCGACATCAAGAACTACTACAACGACATCACCCTCAAAAACCTGGCGCTCATCAGCTTGCTGAAGGTACTGCCTGGCCTGCAGAGTGTCACCCTTCCACCAAGGGATGGGTCCTGGGAGGATTTCACCCAAATCTGGCCAGTTCCCCGGTGGCGGCGTGGCTGCTGCTGGTCTCCCGAGGGTTGTGCACCGTTACGTGAGCGAAGCTCTTGAGCTCAGGGAGATGTGCCTTGCTGGGCCAGCAGCGGGAGGGTGTGCGGACAGTGTGGGAGGCTCTGAGGAGCTGGGCAGCCCCCAGGAGCTGGCACTCGTGTTCCCAAGAACAGGAGCAGATGGAGGAGATGAAGAAGAGAGAGAGTCACTTGGAAAAGGAGAAGGCGGAGGTGCTGCTCCAGAACAAGCAGCTGAAGGAGCCCCTGCAGCAGGCCCAGGAGCAGGTGTCCGAGCTGCAGAAGAAGCTGGCCCACTATGAGAAGGACAAGGAGGCCCTGACGGTGAGCAGCCAGCCCTCTCCTTTCCCGAGTTGCCCTGGCTCCTTCCAGGAGGGAGTCGCTCAGCGGTGACCTCGGCCACTTGGCCAGATCGCCGAGCAAAGTCCTTGGAGGCCCTTTCAGCTCGGCTGGGTGTTGATAAGATCTCAGATGGGACTGCTGGGACTCTGGCAGCGAGAAACCAGAGTAGCCCCCGCTGCAGAGGGGGAGGGGAGCTGGTGTGGGTGCTGCCTGGTTTTTCTCGCCCGTATCTCTTTGCTGGTCACTCTTCTCCCTTGCCAGAACGCATCCCCCACACCTCCCAGAGAAACCCGTCCTCTTTAACGGTCCCCTCCCGCTCGCAGAACACAAAAGCCCGTCTGAAAGTCACCCAGAAGGAACTGAAGGATCTTCAGTGGGAACACGAAGTGCTGGAGCAGAGGTTCAGTAAGGTGAGAGCTGCGGGTGGGTCTGGGCATCCCACTTCCCTCTCCAAACCCTCTCCCTTCTGCAGAGGACTGGGCACAGGGGCTTAGCAGAGAGTCTGGGCTTAGCCGAGGGCTTTCCGAAGCTCTAATCCAGGGCCGTGTGATAGCCGCTGCTTCCAACAACGCTTCTCACAGCTTTGGCGTCTCCCACGGTCAGCAGACAGGCTTGGCCTTGTACTTTGCTAAGCAATCATGCACGCTCCGGCGGTCCCCTCCCGGCCCGCGAGGGGCTGGCTGCAGCAGCAGCTCGGGGACAGAGCCGTGGGGAGAGATCGTCACGGGCCACCAGCCCCGGCCGCAGCTTGCTCCTTCCTTCTGCCGGCGTTTGGGGCTCGCTCCCCCCGCTCGCCGTGCCAGGGTGGCTCGGGATGAGTCCTCTTGACTGAGTGCTCCCAGACTCAGCCTCTCCCCGCACCAGCTAACCCAGATAAATCTACCGAGGCAAGGAGAGAGCTCATTTGCAATGCGTAGAAATCCCCAAGAATACGAACGTTGATCTGAGGCCTCGTTAACAATCCATCATTAAGGCAGCAACATATTCGGTGCATTCAGAAATAGGCTGTGGAGGAGAGATTGTCTCCTAATTAGGACACTTATTAACTAGCTGTGAGCCAGGGACTCCTGCCAGCTGCGAGGAGGAGAGGAGAGACCCCCGTGCGCCGCGGGGCCCTCTCCGAGGTCTAAGATAGTGCCACAGCCCGCCCGTCTGCCGGCCCCTTCCACTGTTGGGGGGTCCCATGCCCGGAGGGGAGAGGTGCAGGTGCTGAGGCGGTGCCAGGGAGGGAGGGAAGCTGCGCTCCAGCACCTGCCTTCCCCGCGGGCCACAGGTGCTGTGGGGAGCGGCCGGGCTCTCGCTGGAGCCGGCAGGGCCGAGCTGCCGGACCTGTTTGCTGCCAGCCCTGGGTGGCCGCCAGCCTGGGGGTCCCAAGGGCAGTGTGAAGGCGTGCTGTCTTTGCGAGCAGGTGCAGGCAGAGCGAGATGAGCTCTATCAGAAGTTCACCAAAGCCATTCGCGAGGTGCAGCAGAAGACGGGCTTCAAGAACCTGCTCCTGGAGCGCAAGCTGAAGGGACTCCTCAGCGTCCTGGAGAAAAAGGAGGTGGAACTCAGCGAGGTCTTGGCAGCCTCCAACCTCGACCCGGGCGCCCTCTCCTCGGTCTCGCACAAGCTGGAGGTACTGTGCGCGGCCGTGGGGCCCTGTGAAGGCTGCCTTGGGGGGCAGAGGCTGCTCTGGGGTGAACGCAGACCCCAGAGCGTGCGAGTCCCTGTCCTATGTGGCTGTAGCCGTCACGTCACGTCACCCGTTCCCGGCACTCCCAGGGCCACGCGCAGTGCTGCAGGGCACTCCGTCTCTCCCTCGAGAGCGGAGCACGTGGGTGTCGGAGTTTGGCACTGATCTCTCCCTCAGGTGGGGCTTGTTTTGAGGAGAATGGCCCCAGGCTGAGCAGCGCTCGCCGGCGCTCTGTGCTGCCGAGCAGCCGGCTGCGCGTGGGGTCCGTCAGCGACCCAGGGTGCTCTCTGCACGGGGAGTCACAGCCTGTGAACCTCTCCTGGCCTCCCTGGCTGCAGAGACAGCGTAGACAGGTTCCCAGGGGCTCTGCAACATCTGCTGTGCTAAAAATATGTATGCAGAAAGCCTCGGCACGGAGGCTCGGAGACCCGCATTCCTGGAGCCTGCCGCAGCCGTAACTGGAGAAGCGGCACTTGCTTCGGATTGGGTTGAGACGCAGGGGACACGGGTTCCACACTCGGCTCGGCCACTGCCCCGGTGCCCTCCCCCTCGTCCCACACCAGCCTGTCCCCTTCCAGGTCCCCTCTGCGGCAGGCGGACGCCCTCTCGCTGGGGTGACCTGGGGATGGGCACGGCAGCGGTCGAGGCACCGGGGCCGTAGGACAGGGCAGTGGATGTGTCACCTACTAGCAGGTGCCACGGCAGCAGGAAGGAAAACACATTCCTGGGAAGGCGTCACGGCGTCGAGCTCTCCCACAGCTGCTGGGGTCCGGGAATTCCTCTGCTCAGCTGCCTCCAGCGACTTCTCGGGGAGACTCTCTCCCTGTAATTCCCCTGGTGCCACGCCGGCAGGGCGGTGCTGCCAGAGCAGGTGCTGCCGTCGCCCCCGCTTCGCAGCGGGGCTGACGATGATGGCAGGGCTGCGCTGGCGCTTGTGTTGTTGGGCTGGGAAGTCCCTGTCCCTTGCCTCTGCCTGGGGCTGGCTGTCCCTGGCAGTGCTGGCTCAAAGGGAGCGGGGTGGTGGCCGCCTGCCAGGCCGTGCTGCGAGCCGCTCCGCTTCAGCCAGGCCCCGGTGCCAGCCCGGCCGCCGTGCAGCAGCTCCTCTGTGCACTCTGCCACGCCGCTCCTGCCTGCGGCACAGCCGCCGGTGCCCCCGGGGCTGGGCAGCCGCTACCTGACGCACCGTCTCCCTTTGCAGGACCTGCTCGATTCCAAGAACGCCACCATCCAGGACCTGCAGCTCCAGCTGGCCCGAGTCTGCAAGGTGAGGGAAGGGGCTGCCCTGTCCCCCCCGGCTCAGGGCTGGGGGCTGTCGGCTGGTGGCCACAGTTCACCCTGCGAAGGAAGGCGCGTTGGGGTGTCCCCCCGGTGCAGGGGGGTGCAGGGAGCTGGGCACAGAGGGGCTGGGCTGGAGCAGGGCTTCGGGCTGACCAGGGGACGCTTCTCTTGCAGGCACACGATGACATGTTGCAGACCTTCGAGGCAAAGCTGACGGCTTTCGGCATCCCCCTGGACAACCTGGGCTTCAAGCCTCTGGCGAGCCCCGTGCTGGGGCAGGCGGTGGGGCAGGGCCCCGCAGGACTTGTGGCCGTGCCCACCTGATGCCAGCCAGCACTGAGGGACCTGCGGGCCGGGCCAGGAGCGGGGCTGTGCCCCGTTTGTGCTCCGCGCCATTAAACAGACCCCAGAGGGACTTTTGGAGGACCTGGAGGACCCTCTCTCTCCTCCCTGGGGGGCCCTTTCCTCTGGAGCAGCTGCCAGCCGCATCGGCTCTGACCGGACCCAGGACCACGGCGCAGCCACAGGGCTCCCGGCACCCCCCTGCCTCTGGGGCTGCCCCCCTGCATGCGCTGCCCCGGGGCTCCCTTCCTTTCCCCCTCCAGAAGCCCTCTGTGCCCTGCCCCAAGGAAGATGATTTTATTTTTTTGAGATGAACGCTGCTGTTTGAAGCCTTTAATGGTGCGGGTGGCGTGGTTCCCCCTCGGTGACCGGCATCGCCAGGGGGAGGACGTGCCCTTCCCCTAACTGCCCCGGTACGTTGTGTAGGAGTAGGGGCTGATCAGCAGTGGGAGGTGCAGCTTCTGGGCCGGGTCAGCGATGGTGAAGACGACCTGGGGCAGAGCGAGGAGGCAGCGGCTGGGATCCCCCTCCAGCAGGGCTCAGCAGCCAGAGCTGGGCCCTGAGGGATGCTCGGAGCAGAGCCGGTAAAGCCGGCAGCGCCGCAGGAGGGAGGCTGGGGCAGGCAGCTCCCACAAGCCTGGCGGTGGCCCCCGGCCCCCTGTGGGCTTGTCGCCCCGTGGCTTTGGCTACGGCCAGCTCCCGTGGCCCCTGTCCCGTGCTCCCTGCGCTCCGTACCTCCACGAAGGGGTAGAAGCTGGTGTGCCCCTGGCCCTGCCAGTACGCCGCTGTCTCAAAGCGCAGCTTGTAGGTGCCGGCCTTGGCCTGCCCCTGTGCCAGGAGGGGCAGGCAGCGCCCGTCCTCGTCCGTCCACCTAAAACCAGAAGGAGCGAGCCCTGCTGCGGCGGCTGTCCCCAGCCCTGCGACCCCTGGGGCGATGGCTGAGCCGGCTGGCCGCCGGCTGGCTGGTTGGGGACAAGCGGCGGCATCCTCTGCCCGTTTTGCTGCCGCCGGCTCTCCTACCTCTCCACCAGCTCCGTCCACTGCGGCCCCGGCTCCTGCAGCTGGGCCAGGCGGATGGCAAGGCCGGCCGCTGGCAGCCCCGTGGCCGTGTTCAGCACATGGGTGGTCAGGGAGCCCTTCACATGCCCTTCGGACATGCCTTCGGCCTGAGGCAGAGGAGCAAGCGGGGCTGGGATGTGTCCCGGCACCGCCGGCTGCCTTCCCCCCCCTCCACCGTGCTGCGGCAGGCAGTGCCACAGCCGAGCCCCCGGCTGCCCCCAGCCCCGCTCACGTCCTTCCCATGCCGTGGGGCTCGGCTCCGGGCTCCCCGCTCGTCCCGGTGGGCTGCGGCACGGTGGCAATGGCTGGCCCAAGGAGGAAGCAGCCCTGTCCCGGCAGCCCCGTCTGCCCGCCGTGTCACGTGCGGGCGGACGTTAACCCTGCAAGCGCTCCGGAGCTGCCTGGTGCAGGCAGCCAGCGCGGGGGTCAAGGGCAGCGCCGGCAGGGGCGGCTCGGCCCCTTCCCCTCTGGGAGCCCCCGGGTCCTGCTTGGCGGGGTGGGAGCAGAGCCCGGGGGCTGCGTCCTGCTGCTGCTGGCCGGGCAGGCCCGGGCTGCCTGCCTGGAGCGGGACCAGCTCTCACCGCCATCCCGGCACCGGCTCCAGGCCTCGGCTGCTGGCTGAAGCGGGGATGCCGGAGAGGCACGGCGGTGAGCAGGGGCAACTGGCTGCTTACCTGGCTCTCCTCCGTCCCGCCCGGCCAGGGGCCCGCAGCTGGCGACACCGCGCAAAATGCCATCCCCTGCCCCAGCCGCCCTTCCTGGCACCGCGGCCTCTCCCCACGGAGCTGGTGAGGCTGGATGCTGCTACCCCAGCACGGGGCTGCGGCACGGCCGGGCGCTCCTCCCCGGCTGGGCTGAGCTGGCGCAGGTGGCTTCCCCCTGGGAGGTGCGCCCGGGAGCCCCACCGGCACCCACGCTCCGGCAGCACCGCAGCCCTGGGGCTGGTGGACCGGAGCCCAGCGGGACATCGTGGTGCCGGGCCAGGAAGAGCCGTGGCGGAGCTGCCATCCCGGTCTCGCCTCCCTCCCTCCCTGGAAAGTGCCCGGAGTGCCTCGGCGCTGCGGTGGCCGGGCACGCGGGGGCTGCCGGGAGCAGGCAGAGGCTTCACCGTGGTCTAACCCTGCCCGTCCGCCTGCCGTGGGGGCACGGGGTGGGCTTGGTGCCTCACCTCCACTTTGATGAGGGCGGTGGCGGTGGCCTGCAGCCCGTACCCTTCCCTGTCGGTCGCCTGGATCTGAAGGGTGTATTCAGGGACCGCCTGCGGCGAGAGGCTGTGTCACCCCCAAACTGGGGGGTGGGAGCCGGGCTGGGGGGTGACGGGCTGTGCCCGGGCTCACCTGTGCCACCAGCCCCGCCGCGGCCACGGAGATGGCCCCGGTGCTGCTGTCGATGGCAAACATGCGGGGCCGGGGCTGCTCTGGCGTCTGGCGCAGGATGGAGTAGACCACGATGCCGTTGGTGGAGCTCACGGCGTCATCCGCATCCGTGGCCAGCACCCGCAGCACGGGGGTGCCTGGGAGCCAGCGGTTAGTGGGGACATCTCCCCATCCCCCCCGTCACCACCGCCCCGGCACCACCTCCAGCTCGGCGGCGGCGGTCTCACCTGGCTTAGCCCCCTCCCGCACGCTGCTGTGGAAAACCGCCTCCGTGAAGACGGGCTGGTTGTCGTTCTGGTCCATCACGGTGATGATGATCTCCATGGGTTCCTCCACGGGCTGCCCGTTGGCTGAGACGGCGTGGGAGAAGAGCTGCGGGGGGCACCGTCAGCCCGCGCACGGCCCCGGGGACTGTCCCCTCCCGGTCCCGGCCCCCCACTCACGATGTATTTATCCATCTCCTCCCGGTCCAGCGGCTTCGTCACCTCCAGCCACCCCGTCTCCCGCTCAAAGGTGAA